CCTGATCTACTTTGTTTGATAATAGGTCCTCCCCATTCCAGTGTGGTCCTGCTTCATACCCTGGAGGAAAACATGCTGTTTAGGGAGCAAAAGAAGAATCTCAGCAGGCAGGCCTTGCTAGTTTTTCTGTGCATAGTCTGCTAGCAATCATAACTAAGTCATGGCATTTCCATTAAAAACCCAAAGGGACAGAGTTCAGAGTGCTTCAGGCAGCAGAAGATGTGGTGGAGGTTCTACAGGGTGGTGCACCCAGAGACTGCACAACAATTTTGCACCTTTCCCATTCCTCACTATATGCATCTCTTTGTCTGTGTCCACTGTAATATCCTTGAAAGCTGATAAACATAAGGAAATATTTCCCGAGTTTTGTGGGCCAAGCAAATTAATGGAACCTGAAGAGAGGACTGTGGGAATCCAGACTGATAGCTGTTGGGTTAGGAAAAACTAACCTGGGGTTTGCAACTTGTATCTGAAGTGGGGAGCAGTCTTTGGACTGAGCATTCACTGTGAGGGATGCAACTTGATCTCTAGGTAGATAGTGTTAGAGAGTGTAGATAGTGACAGAAATATCTGCTATTGGGGAACTCATTGCTCACTGGTGGAGAAATACTCCCATAACTTTTAATTTTATTCTATTTTATTTTGTTTATTAGAGCTTTATAGTTATACATAGTAGTTGGGTTCATCCTAACAAAATCATAGAATTTGATTTCATTTCACGATCCCCACTCTTTCCCCCCTCTTTTTGCTTCCTGTCCTTTCTCCCCTCCCATGTTATCTTTACTCTGTTAGACTTTTTTTTTTGCTCATCTATTTATTTACATTTGATTGGTTTTACACTTGATTGGTTCTTTTACTTACACAGAAAAGTGAAATTCCCTGTGGCCTATCTATATTTGCACATGACATGATTTTTAATATTTATTTTTTAGTTTGCGAGGACACAACATCTTTGCATGTGGTGCTGAGGATCGAACCCAGGCCGCACGCATGTCAGGCGAGTACGCTACCCCTTGAACCACATCCCCAGCATGACATGATTTTTAAAGAATTCATTCTGCATTTCCTTTCCTTTCCCATCCCTTCACACTGCCTCTGGATTTCCTTATAATATCTTTATAATATCCTATCTTTTGCTCCCCCTTGTGTTTATTTTATTCTAGCTTCCATATATGAGGGAAAATATTTGACCTTTTTCCTCATAACTTTTGAGAGTGCAGAAATCTTCTGTTTATTGTGGTGTGAAAGTAGAGGAGAAACAGGCATTTTGTTTTTCCAACATCACAATGTGCATTCTATATATGATAACTCCTCATTGCTTAGATTTTACAAAATGCTATTATAATCAAATTTCAGGAAGTAGTA